GGGTGGAGTTAGAGGAGGTGCTAGGAGGTGTTCGGGTGGAGTTAGAGGAGGTGCTAGGAGGTGTTAGGGTGGAGTTAGAGGAGGTGCTAAGAGGTGTTAGGGTGGAGTTAGAGGAGGTGCTAAGAGGTGTTAGGGTGGAGTTAGAGGAGGGGCTAAGAGGTGTTAGGGTGGAGTTAGAGGAGGTGCTAAGAGCTGTTAGGGTGGAGTTAGAGGAGGGGCTAAGAGGTGTTAGGGTGGAGTTAGAGGAGGTGCTAAGAGGTGTTAGGGTGGAGTTAGAGGAGGGGCTAAGAGGTGTTAGGGTGGAGTTAGAGGAGGTGCTAAGAGGTGTTAGGGTGGAGTTAGAAGAGGTGCTAAGAGGTGTTAGGGTGGAGTTAGAGGAGGTGCTAGGAGGTGTTCGGGTGGAGTTAGAGGAGGTGCTAGGAGGTGTTAGGGTGGAGTTAGAGGAGGTGCTAGGAGGTGTTAGGGTGGAGTTAGAGGAGGTGCTAAGAGGTGTTAGGGTGGAGTTAGAGGAGGGGCTAGGAGGTGTTAGGGTGGAGTTAGAGGAGGTGTTAGGGTGGAGTTAGAGGAGGTGCTAAGAGGTGTTAGAATGGAGTTAGAGGAGGGGCTAAGAGGTGTTAGGGTGGAGTTAGAGGAGGTGCTAAGAGGTGTTAGGGTGGAGTTAGAGGAGGTGTTAGGAGGTGTTAGGGTGGAGTTAGAGGAGGGGCTAATAGGTGTTAGAATGGAGTTAGAGGAGGTGCTAAGAGGTGTTAGGGTGGAGTTAGAGGAGGTGCTAGGAGGTGTTAGGGTGGAGTTAGAGGAGGTGTTAGGAGGTGTTAGGGTGGAGTTAGAGGAGGTGCTAGGAGGTGTTAGGGTGGAGTTAGAGGAGGTGCTAGGAGGTGTTAGGGTGGAGTTAGAGGAGGTGTTAGGAGGTGTTAGGGTGGAGTTAGAGGAGGTCACCTGCAGGACCAGCTCGGCGCTGAACTCTCGGCTCAGGAGGTCCACTGATTGGTTGAGGCGGTCGAACAGCTGACCGAAGTTTCCCTCCACCGGGATCTGATCCCTGCACCACGGGGTCATCACTGGGGGGAGGGGGGTGATAGAGGGGTCATACAGGGGTCATATAGGGGTCATACAGGGGTCATAGAGGTGTCATACAGGGGTCATAGAGGTGTCATAGCGGGGTCATAGAGGGGTCATACAGGGGGTCATAGAGGGGTCATAGAGAGTCATAGAGGGGTCATACAGGGGTCATAGAGGGGTCATACAGGGGTCATAGAGGGGTCATAGAGGGGTCATAGAGGGGTCAGGGCATGAAGCAGGTAAACAAACATCCTGACTCTACACCTCTGTAGTATACGGACCTCTGAACACGTCACACAGGAAGTGAAGCCTCATGAAGACGCAGAGCAGGTGGTTGATGACAGGGACAGAGACCACCTCCATACACTCCGCCCACCTGAGGCTGAACCAATCAGAGCAGCGCTGCACCCCACCCTCCACCACATCTGACACACACACACAGATATTAGAGGAGGTTGTAAGGAGGTGTTAGGGTGGAGTTTCTATATGCTGCATTGTTGGAGGAGCTCAGCTCAGAAGACGCTGTA